TTATAAACAAAATTTTAATTTCATGTTTACATCACAAAATATTGTTTGTTTTTCCCAACCATTTAAAAATATAAAAACTATTCTTAGTTCACGGGTCATACAAAAACAAGCAGTGGGCCAGATTTAGGTAGGCCGTGGATCATAGTCAGCTGATGAATGGTTTAGGTATATATTTTTTTTCCAGTAAACAGATCCCCTCCCAGAGCCTCCAGAAAGGAATGCAGCCCTGCTGATACCTTGATTTCAGCCCAGTGAGAACTATGTTAGACTTCTGAACTACAGATCTATAAGATAATGAATTTGTGGTTTTTAAAGTCACTAAATTTGTGGCAGTTTGTTAAAGCAAAGAATATAAAACTAATACAGTTCTCATTTTTAGTTTTTTCCTCATCTTTTTGTTTTACCTTTTTATCTTCCTACTGTCGCTTAATCATTATCTGTCCTTTTTATATGGAGTTCTTCTATCCATAGAGGCCATGAGTTCTTGCAAAGAATTTCCTCAAATGTTCTTCCACAGCTTAAAATTCTTGATTTTCACAGGTATGTCACTGAATCTTCTGATGATTACCTTTTCCTTAGATTTGTGGGATTTTTTTTGTTCCATTCATTTCAAATGTTAAACCTATCCAGAATATTTTGGCATTGAACGAAACTATACAGATCATTTCTACCTAGTCCAATCTTTTCCAAATAGATGTATGTATGTATGTAGGTATGTATGGGGGTGTGATGGAGATGTTGAGGAGAGGAGAAGAAGCAAAGAATGGAAACCTAGGAAATGACAAAATGGAATCAGAAACTGATTCTTTTTTAAATTACACCTTTCCATCCTGAAAAAAAATCTGATATACCCCTGCCCAGAGAGATTCAGTGTATATTGAACCACTGTGAATAATGAGAATGTATTATAATGCTCAAGCACATTCTTCATAAAAATGGAAGAATATCACAAATCTTCAACTGTATATATTCACATATAAGGAACTTGATGCCTGAAACATGATAAACCACCTCCCACCCCGCCCAAAATAATGTATCTGCTGCTGGAGCCAAGCCTAAAACTTTCAATCCAGTACACCATCTACCTAGTATAGTTATAAACTGTAATCCACAAGTAGGATTTTGTCACAGGTATCCATATAATTTATTATTCTACATCCTGTAATATTCAAATATTTTTAATATCTATGTTAAAAAGTTTTTTGGGTTAAACCATCTTCCTTTTGTCTTTGCCAAAATTTTAATTTCTTCAGTCTAATTAGTCTGCTATTTTTGCAACTATGTCACCACATAATACTACTATGGAAGAACTAAGCTTCTTTTTATTCCTATTGTCATTCTCCATGTTCAGTGGCTTGAAAACCATGAAATTGGTAAGATCCTCTTATGGAACTTATGGAACTGTCTCTACCTTCTGATTCAACAAAATAGAATTTGTTAAACCTCTGAGTACAAAGTATTTATCTCTCTATTGTTTAACATTTCCAAATTAAGAAGCTAAGAAATCATCTTTTCTTTTTCACGAAAATATATACCTATTTCACTCTGTTGTTGCAAAGACACTTAACAGGTATGAATATAACAGGTGTGAAAAGATCTAGCTCTAGGACTCTATCTGTTCAGTTAGAAATGTCTTGAGGATATCAAATATTATAAAATATGTATCACTATTTTCCATTAATACTGTTTTAGACATTCTGGGAGAATACCAAAAAATGACAATTTTCTAAGCAATATTTTTATTAAAGCCTTCACACTTAGAGCCAGATCTATTGATATCAAAAATACGAATACAGAGGAACAAAGATGAGGGAAAAATCTGGCCTAGCCTCATGTTTCCATGAGGAGGAACTTCACTGGAATCGTAGTTCTCAAAGGAGATGTTTTTGGCATTGGAGTGGGGCAAGAAAATTCTTCATTGAGCTGGACCTCTAGATTACACAAGGCCCCAAAAGCCAGTAGCTTTTAAACACATAGTAATAATTTAAAAACACCTCCAATTATTTCAAATGGCCCAAAGGGATCACCCAGGGTGGAAAAATCAGAGCACTAGGTTAACAGTCCTGGCCTCAGATCCCACTCCTTATTTGCAGCTTCCCAACAGGAGAGTTATCTGATTGATGGGTGAAATCCATTGGTCCATATTACTCCAATGGGTAGATATTAGCTATTGTAAACCTGTAAATTCTAGAGGTTTTCCTTCTTTCACTTCACTCTCTGCCCTGGACCACGCATATCAGTAATTCTGGGCAAATGTATCTTTTCTGCAAACTGAAATTTTCCCTCATTGAATTCCAGGTTCTGGGAAAAGAAGTGGAGGCAGAAAGGGGCAGGAAGTACTAGTACTCATTTTTGGTCTCCTATCCAAAGCATTATGCCCAATCAGCTATTTAGTACTGAAGCTGATATTGTAAACTCCACCTGTTTACAAACTCAAGAGAGAAAAAAAGCTATTATTTATTGAGGCTTTAAAAACTTTAATTTCATTAGAATGCTTTCTCTACTCCATTTGTCTTTATACCAGCTTCTCTACCAGAAATGGAGTTAAGAAAGGAATAGTCAAAAACTAAACAGTTCAAATGAAATTATAAATGCTAATAAAGAAAACAAGTGCTCCTATATACTCCTGTGTTTATTACAAAACAATATATATTTTCTTTTTTCAATGTTTTCCCTATCTAATGATACTATCTACTACAGATGCCCACTTCTATTGATAAACCTAGACAAAGAAAATTTAGCGAACAAAATAACTCTACCTATAGTCTTTTATTTAAATAGAGAAATCAGGAAAAGAGCCACAGTGGAACCAACCACAATATTTTTTAACCACAAGAAATTAAAATAGTATAAAAGCTGACTCACTTAAGTTAAAGAAAATAGACGTCTAAGAGTCAGGTTATAGTATTCAAGTGGCATATGCTAAACATAATCAGTTTTTCTTTGTCGACTTTGATAGAAGAGAAAGTTTATGTATTTAATGTTTATTTCAAAAATACAATTTAACATTTTCTCAAAATATTTGGCAATAATTTCTCTTTCCACTTGCTTAAATATAAGAATATCCTTTAAGAGAATGATCAAAGGGCATTTGAAAAAAATTACAGCTTACATGGTTTTGAAAAGACAGCCACAATCTATTGGTAGTTCCTGTTTATTAAATAGTAAAAAAATAAAAGGATTGGTTTAAGATTCTGAATTAAAGTAAGCTATGGTAAAATGCATTGTGGAAGAAAAGGAAAAGACCCAATTCTTTTCCCCACTATATACTCAGTCTACCTTTGGGATGAGGCAAGGGGGAGAGTAATTTCCTTATCCCTCAAGAAGTTGATCCAAAACAGTATCTTAATCCAGGACCACTTATGCTTCCAACTGTGTCTTTCTCTAAGGGGAGAGTCAATAGCTTTCCTTGGCTTCTCAAAGTAGTATATGACACCATAAAGGTCATTCATCTTTGGATTAGAAGGTAATCTTTCCCAATCCTTTCAGGCTATGTATATACTTTGAAAAACCTAGTGATGTCAATCAAGGGGGTAAAATGTGTCATGAAAGACATTTAAGGTGCTATGTAACCGGAACTATCACAGAATCAGTAAGAAATAGACAAATGAGTTTCTTCCTCAATTCTAAATAACCCAATGATAAAAGAAGTCACAAGGGAAGTCTGAAAATACTTTAAGCTGAATAGTCATACTTCTGTGTTTACAAATTCAGATTATATTTCACATCTGTCTAGATCATTAATAATCAATTATTCCTTCTTACTCTTTAGGAACAAAGGGCACAGTAGCCCCACTTTATACATGAGAAAACAGTTATAAAGGTTATTGCCCAAGGACAGTATTTCCTAACCCTGCCAGTTTTCTGTCTTATAGGCCAAGGTTCTCCCCAGTGCTTTCAAGCAGTACAAGCTTCCTTCTTGGGGATTTATACCTTAAACCTAGCAGAAGGAAGTAAAATCAGATTTTTAGCTCCTTTTGTGTTTTCTCTCTGTAATGTTTGTTCGCTGAATCATTTGGGGCCAACTGGTATGAGCAAAGAGATCTGAAGTGGTTATCTGTGGTTACCATCTTACAGTTAATCATTAAATGTGGGTCAATGAAGCAAAGGAGCTTTATACGCTTAATATCACCCACTCTCCACAGAAGAGACGTAGATCATCTATTGGGGCCTGTCCAAAAATAAATTGCCTCAACTTCCTGAGCTGCTCATTGTGCTCAAACGCGCGCCAGGAAGAAAAAGAATTCTAGGTAGAAGAAACCAGATCTCCTATCCCCATTTTCCTAGCAATCCACATGGACACCAACACTTTGGGGGTTCAGAGATTCACCAAGCACCAAGCAAAGATCCTCTCCGCATCCCACCCCAGCGCCCCCCTCCTCCGTGCAAATAAAGCCATCTCACGTTGCCTAAACCTCTTCTCTGCAAACGTTTTGGTCTGCAGATACTTATTAAGAAGGAAAGGCAGGGAAAAGAACAGAGACGAGTAATACTGGAAAAGGAGGCCAGAAGAACTACAGACCCGGAGAGCTGGCCAGTAAAATAAACGGACGCGAATTAACTGACAGCACAAGGGAGCCAATCCCTAACCAAGTGAGAGGTCTCGGGAGGTGGGCGGGACTAAAATTTCCAGGGCCCAGCGCCCCAGCCAGACACGCTGGCAGGGCGGGAACCGTGCGTTCCTTAGCAACAGCGGCGGCCACGCCCACCCACCGCCCCAACACCAGATCCGCCATCCCCACCCCCACCGCGAGCGTCCTGTTCGCCAGAAGGGGTCCTTAAGTTATTACCGTACATACTGGGTTTCCCGGGCTTCGGGTTCCCCCTCTTCCAGAGCCTCCCTCCACCCGGCCCGCCCTAGTGCCACTCTCAGGGGCGTTACGACCATCTCCTAAACGCTTTGGGGGATCGCTAAGGACGTGCGCCCGCTTTCAGTCCCGGACCCCGAGCTTCCCTGGCAGGGCCTCCCCAGCCCCCTCGCCCTCGCCGGACACACACACCTCAGCTCAGCCAAGGCAAAGGCCGACAAACTTCGTGTCCGGCTGGAAATGTTGCTGTCCACGGTCCTGTCACTCAGAGGCAGGGGCGGGACGAGCCAGCCGCACACCCCTAATCCCACAGGGCGGTACGAAAAGAGGCGGGGCTCGGGGGAAAGGGACGGGACCAGTCCCCAGCCCGCACTCCGATTGGTCAGTCTCTCTCCCGCCTCTGCGCGAGTCCCGGACGCAAAGGAGCCGGCCCTACGGCCTTTCCTTCCTCCAGCGTGGAGTCCCAAATTCCAATACTTGACTCACGAAATGACCACAGAAATTAGAAATAAGGACTATGACTTGTTTTATAAATATAAAACACAAGAATACGTTATTTTGATTGTTGAAGCCTTCTCACCTAACACACACTCCCCATCCCCACTCTCCGGGGAGCATCCCTTGGAGGAAGCATGAACCATCTCAAAAAAATCATTGTTTGCAGATTGAAGCTTTTAACAGATTAATCAATTTAGGAAAAGTGATTCCTGAAACATGACCAACAACAAAACTTTGGAGGTATGTCCAGGTATTCAGTTTTCACGTCTACGAAATGGGAATGAAATACTAAGTTATTTGGAAAGCATTTGACAGTTGAATGATTTATGCCTAATAATCATGTACTCCTCTCAACACCCAACAGAGCTGTTATTATCCAAGGCCTATGAACAATGAAACAGGCTCAGATATGTTACATTTATTCAATCATTCAACAAATGAAAAAGTGCCTGTAGTCGTTATTTTTTATACTGTGGTAAATTGAATTTAAAATTCTTTCAAAAAATTATGCGATTTCCAATTTAATTTTTCAATTTTTCTCTTGCCCTAGTGTAAGTTATTTTCCTATGGGCCAGCCCAGCATAGTTTCAAAAAAAAGCCCTTGAGAAAGAAAATAGCATACAGAATAAAGAAGGACTGAGACAAGTATAAATAGACTAACTAGAAGGTCTCTGAAATCTCTCAGGATATCAGGGCAGGAATTGAATCCAAAATGTAATTTTATTTTCTTTTCTCCTAAATCATTTGCTGTTCTCCAGTTCCTCTCCCAGAAATAAAGGTAGAGTTAAATGAGATTATCTTAATACTCTTAACCAGATTTGTATGCGTGTGGTTTTAAAATAGTGCAACCTTTTTTCCTTTTATATTAAACCAATACCCAGAAGTGTTTATCTTGTCCAATACAGTAGTAATAAAGGAAAAAACAAAACAATACTTCTGGACAAGTGCTTTGAGATTCAATTAAAATGTCCACTATACTATGATAAAATTGTTGGACTAAAAGAAACATTCCAATTGCAAATGATTTTATTCTCTTGTCCTGCTGAATTTTCAAATTCTTCTGAAAGCTCACTAACTGTAAATACCTCTCCACAAAATTTCTCAATTTGTATGACTCATGATCACCATTATGTTTCTTTAATCTTTTAAAAATATTTTGTTTTAGACTAAAAAGAAAGAGCTATGATTGTATATTAATAAGTACGTTATATAAATAAATACTGTAAGATTTACATAAAAGTGGTGAATTATTTATTTGAATCCTTTTTCAATTGCATATTCAAATAAGGACAGCAAATGCATTTGTTTAAATATTCTCACATATATAAGAGATTGTACATTTAAATAAATGTATTGTATGCATGTAAATGTGTAATCATTGAAATAAACACAGCTGTATATTTCCCATATGTATAGCTCCAGATGTTTGAAGCATACATTCAAATTTCTGGAACTCTACACCTTGGTTAAACATCCAGTAGAAAATACTGTGCTACATATACAGAGGAATACACATCAAAACTTTATCCTCAATGAGGAAATAAGGTTAGAACAATGAATAAGGAGTCTCTGCCACTGAATTTCTTATCTTGAACATTTTCTTTTGAGATAGCTTGTCCTGGTAAGTTGTTTTGCAAGCACTTTACTGTTCTATAAAATGATCACTTGCCAACTTACCCTATATGAATAGGACTATTGCAAAGTAGTTTTACAAGTATTTATCCAAATAGTTAAACTCCAAAACATAATGTTTCTAGTTAACTTCTCCACTTTGGAGTAGGAGAGTCTCATGTTATCTATGCCTCAGTTGTTTATTTTTTAACTTACACTTCTGCTCCAATACTTGGAACATTTATAATTTGAAATTTCCCCATAGGCACAAATTTACACTACAAGAAATTATGAAGTACAAACTAACCTAATATGAAATAAAATGTATCTTAGGGATATTGAACAAGAAGTAAATGGCTTAATGTAAAATTAAAACATCCAGATGTATGTTATGAATATGCTTATTTCTTTACCATGTAATGACAGACATGCTACATTTAAATTTGTGGTAAGTTGAAATATAAATTTAGAATCTAATAATTACATGAGCTAACACTTTGGTCTAGATGAATATGCGTATAGCGTGAAATTTGGGGTTACCAGTTTGGATCATTTGCAGAAATTATGATTCTGTCAAAATATATGAAATTCATTGGGTATATTAAAATAAGAAATACAATATCAAATTATTTAATCTTTTTCAGCAGTTCTTTGCCTTAAATTTTAAAGTTTAAATATCCAAATTAGCTCTTTGAGTAGCTGGAAAATGGCTGTTTAATAGGTCAAATACGCATATTACTATTTCTGTTCAGTCATTCTAGAATATAGGGATGCATTTAAGGTGAATTTTGTTTAAAACATGTAAAGAAATGATTTTTCATGTGAATTCGTCTAAGAAATCCCGGGGATCCCCAGTGTCTGTGCTTGAAAATCTTGGTTTTAGCCCATAGTACTATATTGAAACAACTTAATAAAACCTTGAAAATGGGTATGCTTTTCTTAAAGAAAAACTTCCTTTACAAAACTCAGAAAATTAATAAACCAGAAAAAATATTTTTCATTAATTTGTGTAATATTTGAAATTATAGCTATATAGCACATATACAGAATGAACTCCCTGGGAAGAACTGACATACATTATTAAATACATATTCCTATATTTGTTTGATTTTTTGATTACTTGATTGCAAAATTGTCTCTGAAACCCGAAATAAAATTATATCTCAAAATATTCTTCAGATGATACAAGAACAGAGAGAATTATTTCATGTGCATGGAAGAAAGATGGATCATATATTACAAATATTTGGAGGATATAATTTCAAATATATAGCTGCTAGCTATTTCTTTAACTGGCAAATGACATGTAGGTAAAAGGTATATCTTGTAGCCATTTGAAAATGTTCACATTTACTTTTTTTTTCAGTTTATTGAAAATTTAATCCAATATGATAATGATTCTAAACCTTCTGAAAACAGGATGCCATTTACAAATAATTCACTGACAGCATTTTTTTTCCCTTCTGAAGGGTACACATAATAATAATGGCCTTTTTTCAGTTGATAGCCCCCTTGTATCTAGGTGGTGACTCATTAATCAAAACTGCTTTGATCTCATGCCCCTTCACTCTCAAAACAAGGCCTTTGAATTCCTCACATCAAGAAAGGAGCAATTGCAGGTTTTCATAGTTTTCACTGCTACAGGACAGAATTGAGGCACAGCATCTCGATGTACTTTTGTCACTCACCACTGCTATGACTCATCAGTATTATATTCATTTAATGTCACACTGATAAAAGCAATCTTCCTATGCTCCCCCTATATCTTAACCCCCAGCTTCTCCAATTCAAGTATTCCAGAGCCCACTTACCAATGCTTCCCTTGTATTTGGGAATTTTCTAAATGTCTTTATTATTGACATTTAATTTAATTCCACTGTTGTTAGAGAACATACTCTGTAAGATTTCAAACTTCTGAAAATTACTGAAACTTATTTTATAGCCTGGCATATGGTTTATCTTTAATGATTATTCCCAGTGTGCTTGAGAAGAATGTGTATTCTGCAATTGTTTGGTGTAGTCTTCTATAATTCTAGAATTAATAATATGTATCCTTAAATTATTGCTAAGATTCATCAGTATTATATCCATACGATATTATATCTTTAAGAGTGATCCCTGTATGCCCCTTCTTCATACTCTCCCTAGTTTTCTTCTCCCCTCCCATCAGCCCAGAGCTGGAGTTCACAGTTGCACATTTCACACACATTACTTTACACTTCCCATTCGTACATCACACTTCACAGATGTCAGAACCTTATGACAGTGTAATTCCATTCATCTGCCCCCACTCTGTCTTTTGTATTATTGTTTTATATGTTTCTTTTAAATGCATTATAAAACCTCAATTTAAAATGTATTTGCTTTTTTTTAATGTATTTATTCATTTGAGAGAGAGACAGAGAGAGAGGCAGAGGGAGAGGGAGAAGCAGACTCCCTGCTGAGCTGGGAGCCTGACATGGGTTTGGATCCCAGGACCTGGAGGTTGACTCCAGCTGAAGGCAGAGGCTTAACCATCTGAACCACCCAGGCACCCCAAAATGTATTTGCTTTTGACCTAAGTGGTTAGCTTTTTTAAAGAACACAAAGAAAATTGTCTTTTTATTTACTCACATACTTGCCATTTCTGGCGCTTTTTGTTCTTTTCTACATCTCCAATAATATCAATTGGACTGTAGAATTAGTATTTTTTCTATCCTCTCCAATTTTCAAGTTTCCTTTCACACAAAATATGAAATTATAAATGATTCTTTATTGTGTACATATATATGTGAGTATATTTCAAATAAAAATGAATACAAATAAACACATATATATACATATATGCATTTTTACTTTTGAACATTTTCTTTGGATTCAACAAATATGTCTACACATTTCAATTATTTCTTGCAACATTTATCTGAAGTCACATTTACTATCCCACATTATCTTCAGAAATAAGAAATTGAGGCTCAGGGAGATTAAATTTTTAACAATTACTTTAAAAAGCCATTAAAGCTTATTGTGTACTTTTATTTCTTAATTAGCATCCATCTTCCCTAATCCAATACTCTAAGATTCATTCCTCTTCAATACTGTATAGTGCTTAGCTCACTATTGGGAGGCTCCCAGGTAGATCTTCAAAAATGATAATGAATAAATAAAAGAGTGAATCCAATTTTTAGATATAGGTATAGGTATATAT